CCAAGAGTAAAAAAAAAAATTTTTTTTAAAAAAAAAAAAAGAAGAAATAATACTATAAAAAAAATAGTGAAAAATAAAAACAATTCTGGAGGCAGGGTGCTGGGTGACATCACACGTCTGTGGGGGGGAGAGCACGTTTTTTTTTGCCTCGGGCGCAAAAGGAGCTGGCTACAGCTATGCTCCCGCGGCTGTCGGCTGAATGTGTCAGATGCCACAGATGGAAAGGGACGGGACACCACTCCCCATGTGCAACGTCGGCCACACGAGCACCACCGGAGGACAGGACGCCCTGGAATGTAAGCCGGCCGACTCCCTGAGTTCAGGGGCGGGAGGGGGTGTGGGGTTGTATTGAAGTCAATGGCACCGCAGCCATGCCCCCTGCCCACAGTGCGATCGCCCGCGCCCAGAACGCAGGCACATTAGTGCCTGCATTCCGATCCAGCGCAATCTGCAAAAATAGTGCGTGCAGCATTTTTGCGGATCACACTGAACTGGACTTTTTACATTTTTGGAAAATTACAGCAGCTTCTGGTTAAGTTGAAAAGGTAAATTTACAAAATGGCTTGTTTAGTAATTTCATATGTGAGTTTTCCTTTAAAGTGGAACTCCAGGATTTTGAAAAGTTAACTCTTGGGTCAGGGCTACCCCTGCACTGCATGGGTTAACGGCTCATTTTTCTCAAGGGGCTTAAATAAAGAAAATATACTTACCTGATCCTGCCTGGTTGCTAGACCGTTCCCCGCAGCCACTTCTTCCCCCCCATAGACCAAAACGAGCAGTTAATTTCACAAAGTGCTAGAGCTCTTCTTTAAAAATTACTTTTCTGATATTTGATACTTCTCTCGGAAAGTTCAATTATAAGGATTAAAAAAACATACAAAGAGAAAAGGGATGGACAGCACAGAAAAAAAAATAAGATAGTGTGAAAAAATAAACAAAACCCATTTAACAGGGACCTTCACACTCTCTCCCGACTTAAAGAAGGGCAAAAGTGTTCTTAACCCTTGCAGTGGCGCGAGGGTTAGGTGCTCGTTTTTGGCAAGGTGCTAAAAAAAAAAGGACATTATACTCACCGATACTGCCTAGCCTGCTGTCTGCTTCTCCTGTCTCCTCCTACGCTGCAGCATTGGAATGTTCCTTACCATCCTCACGTCTATTCACTGTGTATAGATTCATGATGTAATGATTCATGAGACCTTAGACCGCTGCCGTGGAGGGGAAGAGAGGCTCCAGGGACTGGTTTAAAAGCAAGCCATCTCTGAGGCTCAGGTCAGTTCGGGGGTAGACCCAATGCAAGGTTAAGAGAAATTATGCCCAGAGTTCTGCTTTAATCTCCTTGGTTCCTTCCCCCAACCCAGTCTGAAAAGCCTTTTAGGGTGGGGGGATTGCCTACATGTTTTATTTTAACCCCATCCCCACGGCAATTTTAGCCTAGGCAAGAATGTCCCTTCTCCTGCAGCCCCTGGGATATCTACATACATAACTCAGAAGGGGGAGCCAGAGGCAGGTCGTTGGGGACTAGCTACCTAAACCTGGAAGAGACAGCAAGCTTCCAATGACTGAATGGAGGAAGATGGTGGTGTGAGACATAGCCTGGTGTCAGCAGAGCAACAGATCCCAGCAGGACAATGCTCCATTTGCTTGTCAGCAATTCTAGCAGTGTATGGCCAGCAATTCTAGCAGTGTATGGCCAGCAACTCTAGCTGTGTATGGCCAGCAATTCATGCCTTGTATGGCCAGCAATTCTAGCAGTGTATGGCCAGCAAACTTAGCAGTGTATGGCCAGCAAACTTAGCAGTGTATGGCCAGCAAACCTACCAGTGTATGGCTAGCAAACCTAGCAGTGTATGGCCAGCAAACCTAGCAGTGTATGGCCAGCAAACCTAGCAATGTATGGCCAGCAAACCTATCAGTGTATGACCAGCAAACCTAGCAGTGTATGGCCAGCCAATCTATCAGGGTATGGCCAGCAACTCTAGCAGTGTATGGTCAGCATTTCTAGCAGTGTATGGCCAGGAATTTTGGCAGTGTGTGGCCAGCAACTCTAAAAGAGTATGGCCAGCAATTCTATTAGTGTATGGTCAGAATTTCTAGCAGCGTATGGCCAGCAATCCTGTCAGTGTATTGCCAGCAGCTCTAGAAGTGTATGGCCATCAATTGTAGCAGTGTATGGCCAGCATTTCTAGCAGTGTACGGCCAGCAATTGTAGCAGTGTATGGCCAGCAGTTGTAGAAGTGTATACCCAGCAATTCTAGCAGTATATGGCAGACAATTCTAGCTGTGTATGACCACCAATTCATGCAGTGTATGGCCAGCAGTTCTAGCTGTGTATGGCCAGCAATTCCAGCAGTGTATACCAGCAATTCTAGCAGTATATGACAGGCCATTCTAGCAGTGTATGGCCAACAATTAAAGCTGTGTATGGCCAGCAAATCTATCAGTGTATGGCTAGCAAATCTATCAGTGTATGTCCAGCAATTCCAGCAGTGTATGGCCAGAAATGCCAGCAGTGTATGGCCAGAAATTCCAGCAGTGTATGACCAGCAATTATAGAATTGTATGGACAGCAATTCTAGCAGTGTGAGGCAAGCAACTCTAGCATTGTATGGCCAGTGATTTTAGCAGTGCATGGCCAGCAAACCTAGCAGTGTATGGCCAGCAAACCTAGCAATGTATGGCCAGCAAACCTATCAGTGTATGACCAGCAAACCTAGCAGTGTATGGCCAGCCAATCTATCAGGGTATGGCCAGCAACTCTAGCAGTGTATGGTCAGCATTTCTAGCAGTGTATGGCCAGGAATTTTGGCAGTGTGTGGCCAGCAACTCTAAAAGAGTATGGCCAGCAATTCTATTAGTGTATGGTCAGAATTTCTAGCAGCGTATGGCCAGCAATCCTGTCAGTGTATTGCCAGCAGCTCTAGAAGTGTATGGCCATCAATTGTAGCAGTGTATGGCCAGCATTTCTAGCAGTGTACGGCCAGCAATTGTAGCAGTGTATGGCCAGCAGTTGTAGAAGTGTATACCCAGCAATTCTAGCAGTATATGGCAGACAATTCTAGCTGTGTATGACCACCAATTCATGCAGTGTATGGCCAGCAGTTCTAGCTGTGTATGGCCAGCAATTCCAGCAGTGTATACCAGCAATTCTAGCAGTATATGACAGGCCATTCTAGCAGTGTATGGCCAACAATTAAAGCTGTGTATGGCCAGCAAATCTATCAGTGTATGGCTAGCAAATCTATCAGTGTATGTCCAGCAATTCCAGCAGTGTATGGCCAGAAATGCCAGCAGTGTATGGCCAGAAATTCCAGCAGTGTATGACCAGCAATTATAGAATTGTATGGACAGCAATTCTAGCAGTGTGAGGCAAGCAACTCTAGCATTGTATGGCCAGTGATTTTAGCAGTGCATGGCCAGCAAACCTAGCAGTGTATGGCCAGCAAACCTAGCAGTGTATGGCCAGCAAACCTAGCAATGTATGGCCAGCAAACCTAGCAGTGTATGACCAGCAAAGCTAGCAGTGTATGGCCAGCCAATCTATCAGGGTATGGCCAGCAACTCTAGCAGTGTATGGTCAGCATTTCTAGCAGTGTATGGCCAGGAATTTTGGCAGTGTGTGGCCAGCAACTCTAAAAGAGTATGGCCAGCAATTCTATTAGTGTATGGTCAGAATTTCTAGCAGCGTATGGCCAGCAATCCTGTCAGTGTATTGCCAGCAGCTCTAGAATTGTATGGCCATCAATTGTAGCAGTGTATGGCCAGCATTTCTAGCAGTGTACGGCCAGCAATTGTAGCAGTGTATGGCCAGCAGTTGTAGAAGTGTATACCCAGCAATTCTAGCAGTATATGGCAGACAATTCTAGCTGTGAATGACCACCAATTCATGCAGTGTATGGCCAGCAGTTCTAGCTGTGTATGGCCAGCAATTCCAGCAGTGTATACCAGCAATTCTAGCAGTATATGACAGGCCATTCTAGCAGTGTATGGCCAACAATTCCAGCTGTGTATGGCCAGCAAATCTATCAGTGTATGGCTAGCAAATCTATCAGTGTATGGCCAGCAATTCCATCAGTGTATGGCCAGCAAATCTATCAGTGTATGGCCAGCAATTCCAGCAGTGTATGGCTAGCAATTACAGCAGTGTATGGCCAGCAATTCCAGCAGTGTATGGCCAGCAATTCCAGCAGTGTATGACCAGCAATTCCAGCAGTGTATGACCAGCAAATCTAGCAGTGTATGACCAGCAATTCCAGCAGTGTATGACCAGCAAATCTAGCAGTGTATGGCCAGCAATTCCATCAGTGTATGGCCAGCAATTCTATCAGTGTATGGCCAGCAATTCTAGCAGTGTATGGACAGCAATTCTAGCAGTGTATGGACAGCAATTCTAGCAGTGTATGGATGTATGGCCAGCAATTCCATCAGTGCATGGCCAGCAATTCAAGCAGTGTATGGACAGCAATTCTAGCAGTGTATGGATGTATGGACAGCAATTCTACCACTGTATGGCCAGCTTATCTGTCTTTCACTGGGTTTCCATGTACTTTGAAACATGCATATAGCCACTTGAACATCCAACAGTTCCAAAAACCATGTCCATTGTGCTGAAAGCTCATTTCGTCCGCTGTGCGGCACCAAGCCAACAGTTCATGAAAAAGAAATGACTTTCGTCAAAGAACAGATGAAAGGGTCAAATGCCCCAGTCCTGAAATAAGTCCCCCCGCCAACAAAGCACGCAGCGCCCTGTCAAAACATTTGATCCCGCAGACCAGAGCAAGGGATTAAAGAGCAACATCGGCACAAGTTCAATCGAGCTGCCTATAAACATGGGCGTATCGGTCTATAGATGAGAGATCGGTACCACCTTCCATTCTGTAATAAAATCTCCCTGGCATGAAGGCACAGCTTATTTCACATCCGGTTTACCCGGGACTGTCTTGAAATAAAAAACAAAGAGAATAAAAAAAAAAAAAAGCATTGTTGTGGCCGTGATCTCCAAACTAGGAAGGAATTTGGGGGGGTTGATTCTCAAGGAGGGAGCTAGCGATGCGCTTGTGATTGCTTCTGCTGCTGCTGGATGAGTGAGAGGCAGGGCCGTGCAGAACTCCCAGCCTCAGCCACTCTCTGCTTCTCCCTGGCTCTCTCCAAGTCACTTTCACGAGACTGGATTTTACAAGCGACCACCTCTCTTTCTCCCACTCCGATTTTTTTTTTCTTCTTCTTCCTCTCCCTCTTTGTGAGCATCAATCCTAGGTAAGGGCTCTGCTCCGTTCCCTGCGTGTCACCACTTAGCAGCCTTATATTTCCCGATGTGCATTTTGTCCATTTTTTTCCCCCTTCTCTAACATGCAACACTGAAGAGCTGTGACCATTTTCTCTCTCACTTTGGAAATCCGCAGCGATCGATGGCAGGTTGAGAAGATCAGTTGTGTTTGGTTTTTAGGGACAGGTCTGCAGGACTTAAAGGGTGGAGAACACAAAAACAGAGCGAGCTTCTCATAGGGAAGTTAATGTGGCTTTTTCTTGCTCATCTACAAGTCGAAATGACTTGAGTCGACTGCGTTTTTTTTTTTTGTGTCTGTAATTCTTCTCAGAGACAGAGAATCTGTTTTATACTGGCGATCACACAAAAAAAATTACAAAGAATCATACAGTAGTAGTAGTATTATTGAAGCATTGGAAGGATAATGAGATTTAAGGTAAGCTTTGTGATGGCTGAAATGGTGGCATTTAATTTCTAAGAATGACAAGATTCCAGGAAGACAGGGATAGTTTAGCAAGGCGGCTGATGTGTGTATTTCAGTGCATGCTACAAGGAGATAGTCAGATTGTGCATGCCTTGATTTTCCTATGTGCATCATTCATCAACATCTTGCTGCGTTATATGATTAAACCTCAAATGCATGTTGATCACCAAGAACCTTCAGCATGTGCTATCACAATGGAGGCTGCATGTGTTCAAACCCATTTTTATTCCACCCGTCTGTTTTAGTCCAGTGTTTACATGAGAGCGATGCATTTAACTGTGTTTCTATTGATTTCAATGGCACTAGGGATGTGGGGAATAACTGTATGTGTGCTTGTTTATTTCTGATAAAGCAAACAGGCAAAAGCATACTACTAACACCCTTCAAACGACGGTTTAAAGTGTCATGAATGGGGGACTTGGTTCTAGCTGCTGTGCTCAAGGCTAGAGAGACTCTTTGCCAGCAGAACTTTCAAAATAGATCACAATGGCAGTGGTTTAAGTATATCTGGAAACTAGTGCTGGTGAAGTTTGTGTTTGGAAAGGATAGAGATGAATAGCAACATAAGAAACATAAAGATTACACAAATAGAAGATCTACTGCAGGCTTATGGTATCATTCAGGGCAGTGTGTGTGTTTGTTGTTTTTAATTCTACCGATACATTATTTTTAATCTTAGGGAGGTTGTGTGTCAGAGCATGAAACTCTCATGTAACAGATGGGATATTAAAATAATGAGATTAAACAGCAGCCCTGAGAATCACATTGAATCTAACATGAGAGGTCTGCTGTTTGAAAAGCTTCAACTAACAACCATGGAAAGGCATTCCTAAAACCGCATTGAGGCAAAGTTCTTCTATGATGTCTTTCAACAATATAGATGGCTGACTCATTTCATCAACATACATAGCTGAGTTTGTTCAGAAAAGCTGACACGTTATTTTTCTTTTTTTTGACTGTCAATGTTATGAACAATACCTACGTGGGTATGTTTATATTCATATTGCATACAAGGGCTGTAGCCTTGCAGCAACTTAAAACTGTAGAGCTAGTAATTCTGGTCAACAAAACCTATTTTGTATAATTTTACATTTCATTGTATAGTCAACACAGGAGAATGGAAAAACTTTATTCAATCAAGTTTGTCTTCTAACTCTGCTTCTGTTATTCCCTAGACTCAAGGAATTGCAATGAGGAGGAAAACCATCTTGTTTGATTGTCTTTGGGCCTGGACAGTTATTTTAAACACATTAACAGAAATAAGGTGAGTAGAATTTACAAACATGACATATTGCCTGTTATGAGCTTCCTGCGTAGGAATGTACGTGCATGTTCCTGACTTGCCTATGTACCAGTAACATGGTGACCCTTTTCCATTGAAAGATCAACTTAATGAACCAGTTTGCTTCTTAACCCATTATTTTTTCTCTCCATGGTGACCTGTCCTGAACTTAAATGCATTATGTATGTGAATAATGAAGTGCATGTGGATTGGAGGTCTAATAACACAAATTAATGTCTTGGAAACTGATATCAAGCCAGGCCACATTACTAGACCATAGATATTAACATTCTACCAATTATATTCATACAAAAATGTTCATAATTATTATTGTTTTATGAAAATATTCCTAGATGTAAAGTTGACCTAAATAAATGCAGTGTCAGCCAGAAATTTTAACATGGAATTAAAATGGAGTGTAGGGAATGTAGGGTATAGGGAAACTGTGGCCTATAGGCAGTGTGGTGGGGATGGTGGGGGTACAGGCTCCAGAGTGCCCCCTCTGCTGTTTGTGCTTATTAAAAAATCATTTTGGGTGTGAAATTAAACTTTTTTAGGTATAAGTGTGCAAAAGTACTGCTATGTAATGCTGTAACATTAAGGGTCAGTGGTTGTTCAATAAGTGAGGGGCCTGCAAATTATCAAGGTGTCAGTGATAGCAATGTGACGACAATGTGACAAACAATGAGTTTGAATTTAATTTGTTCACTCCTCCAGGCAAAAAAATCACGAGCATTATCACTGCCAGAGGGCCTGGAGCATATATTATTTAGGAGATGTTTGCCTGTCAGTACAAAAAAAACAGGGTTTTTAAAATGTGTACAACTTATAGCAACAGGAATAAAATAAATACACATAAATAATTTACAGAATAGCTTTTATTTGCTTCTGCTGGATCTTTATGACAAAGATGGCCTCATCTGATCACAGTGCAAAAGGCAACATTTGCTGTTTCCCAATAAGCCAGCTTTTAGCAGATTACTGTACTGAACTAACGAAAGCCGACTTTTCATTGGTTGCTGTAAGTTACTGTATAGTACAACATTATTGTTTGTACCATATTAATATAGGACACTTCCAAACTTTAGCTTATGTTAAAGGACATTACTACTGCTGGTAGGATATTAGAGTAATTATTATGATATTATGTAATTCATTTAAATATTATTTTTACTTTTTTTTCTTATTTTTTTTATAATGATTTGCCTTTGCTGTCATGTTAGTTTGGAGCTAGTTATTTTTTTTAAATTTGAAACTAGTTATGCATATATGAATGCATTCTGCGCTGGTCTATCTATCTATCTATCTATCTATCTATCTATCTATCTATCTATCTATCTATCTATATCTATATATCTTACACAGCCACATGACTTTAGATGATCAGCCAGTGTTAAACATTTCTGTCTAAGCCTTATGGAAAGCAAAAAACACACGCCAATATGATGATGACCTGTAGATGGAGTCAGTGCACAGTGTTTTAGGGTGAGGATACAGTATACTGTTTATACACATTTTCATTAAACAGTGAATATGGTAGACAAATAACATGAGTCTTCAACAATAATAACAAAGCATCTGGACTTATACCTTTACTAAACTGGCTGTTTTACTCCAAAGTAAAAGTTGATTGCCCAGTATGGGTTACTGCAGTTTGCAGGTCATATTTTTACCTTTAAATTTTAAGCTCTGTCACTATGTCATCAGTCATAAGTAAGTCAGAATCATTTGTGTTGTCAAAATAACTTAACACTTGACAAGGCTGTCTAAAATATATACAATATAAATATTTTGCAGCCAAGAAAAGGCATATCTTCTGTATCTTAACAATTCATGAAAGAAGAATATTAACTGTGGAACAATTCAATTTGTCTCTAAATAAATTCATCGCTATTTGATCAGGGAATACAGCTTAAATTCTGAAGCCAAGAACCCTATTAAGGATATAATTATTGCTTATCACAAGTTTTCAGCTCATGTTGTTTCTCATCCATCATTTTCTATCTGTGAGTGCTTTCCCTGCCCATGCAGGCTGCATCTTCTATTCATTCAGACCACAGCTACTAAGGTGTTTTTGTAACTGACATTCACCTTAATCTTGATGCCCTTCTGGTCTCCTTGGGAATTGTGTGCACATCAGTTTGCAGCCAGACAATAAGTGTTTATAAAGGGCTACTTCGGTAGAATAATTGTAATCCAGAAACCCATAAAAGATAAAAACACAGGGCACAGAAACATTCATAAAGCATATCTAGTAAAGAGCAATGGGGTTGTACAAGCTTACAAAGTTTTTTTTTTTGTGTTACCTGGATTGTTATATTGTAATAACAAGCAGATACAATAGCCATATAACAGGCAACAGATTGTAATTTATTTTTCTGAACATATAGGTCTTGTTTACAGCATAACACATATGTTAATGCATGTTGCATTAACATGCAGTTTAGATTTGTCACATTTGTAAGACTCTATTTCATATGACTCGAATGGCAAAATGCAAGTCAATGCATTGAAAAATGCAGCTGGCAGGACTATCTTCCAGTGCACTGCAATGAAAAGTGTTGGTGTCAATAGGTTTTACTAGAAACTTGTTTATCATCGTTATCTGAGGTGAATGGGCCCTTTTATCAGACATACAAATAACATACCCCAGAGAGTATATAGAGTACAGGCAGAGCTGCATTTACCATAATGGCTCTCATGCTAGGGCAGCAGGCAGTATCAAGCCTCAAAATGTATAAACTGCAAAAAAGTTTTCCATCATATTGTTTTCTTCTTCTACCAACCTCTGAACATGTAAGGCTAAATTCAGTTTTAAAAAAAGTAGGGTATAAGGACCACAGGAGATATAGAGATGAGCTGTTAGATTCATTAGTTTAAGAAAAAACAAACAAACCTCTCCTTTCTCTTGTTTGCTGATTTGGAAAGTTCTACAAAACACAGCATGTTGCTTCCAACAGCACATTCTAGTAAAGCTTTTGCTAAAATAATCACATGGCAAAACAGGCAGAGTTTGTGTGAAAGGACCTCATACTTAGGTGTGCATTTGGCATCATAATGTCAAAATATGGCTCTGGATACAGGATGTGCATTACAGCTTCACAGGGCACCATTTGTGGGGTGGAGATTTTCAGTTGATACTGCTTCCTGCTTACCATTTTCGTTTTGGTGGAGATATTCAGTCGCTCCTTCTTCTTCTTTTACTTTTTTTTAGGGGGTGGAGATATTCAGTTGATCCTACCCTTCTTTGCCCAGATAGGAACCGCTCCTCTAATATGAAATTGTCACCACAGTAAAAGTGGGTTTTTAATTTGAAACTGACCACTGTAAAGAAAAAATTAAGCCAGAGATGCTAAGCTTGGTAATATGGAGCTGGAACAGTAATGACTGAACACAGCATGGGGTGAGCGGGGCATTTACAACATAAGGCTTAATCAGGCAGATACTTTTCTTCACTGCGAGTGCCCAGCCAGATTTGGAAATCAGCTGCAAACAGAGGCCTATGTACATACTATACCGCTGCACTGGGGACTCTGAAACTTAGGGATCTCAATCCCATTGCCACATAGAACTGAAAGCTGTTCACTTTTAAAGCTTGCCATATGCCTATAGATTATCTGCAGATTCTCTATGGTCAGATGGAAAAAGTGCAACAGATTCCTCCATCTACGCTGAACTGTGTAGGAATCTCCCACTGGGCCAAGCTTCAGTATATTGCTAGTTGGCCCTGCTGGCTGTGAAAATACCTGAACAATCTGATTGGATGCAGGCATTGTTTAGGCATTTTGAGAGCCAGCGGGGCCGAGTAGCAAGATACTAAAGCTTGGCCCAGTGGGAGATTCCACCACCCGCACAGTTTAAAGGTGAACTATGAGGTAAGTGTTTTCCCCATAGTTCTCCAAAGCTCAGTATATAGCGAGCTACAGCTCGCGGTATACTGAGACCGCCGTATTACTGTCGAGATCCACCTAGCTGCGTGAGTGACAGCTGGCTCCGCCTATCTAGAGGCAGAGCCAGCTGTACCCGCCCCCTCTCCCATCTGTTCCGCCAGTCAGCGCTGGAGGATCGGAGCGGGAGGGGGGAATCCCTGCAGGGAGCCTTGAGTGACAGTCATGGCTCTCTGCAGGGACATGATAGAGAAGTGAGCAAGCAACGGTATGTGTTTGTTCACTTCCCGATCTATTGAGCCAACGTGTGACAGTTTCATTGACACACGTTGTCTCGATCTATGAGGTTGAATGAAAATCACTCACCTCATAGTTCTCCTTTAAGGTAGATGGAGGAATCTGACCATAGGAAATCTGACCATCTGACCATAGGAAATCTTCAGATAATATATATGTGTATGGCCAGCTTTAGATAGGTTAGACGGGAGAGTCATTTTTATTATACTCTAAGTGTACTCCTGGTTTGCAATATCTCAGTGGGGTCAGGAAGCAGTGACCATGTCCTTCATGCTCGCCTAATTGGCACTGAGACATGTGGAATGCTTCTCTTATTTCCTCTTGGCATGATTTGGACTGGAATTTGAGTAGCTTGATGACTCAACTTCTATATTTTGAATTTAGGGTATATCTGTGCATTGTTTGTGGTTAAGCAGTGAATAAATGGGTGCACCAATATTGATCTTGAACAGAAGCTTTTGGTAAATATGTCCATTACTGACCCCAAAGTATCCATAGCCAAGAAATATTTTCTTTAAAAATCAGTAACATTATTTCTATTTTAAAATAAAAGAAATCAGAGTAGAAATGTAGGCCCAATTAAATGCACTGATTATTAATCATTAAAGCCTGATCCATCAACAATAGCTCATGTGATCATAAATAGATCTGTATTTGTATGGATTTATTCATCAATATTTAGCTAGTCTTTGCCTTTGAAATAAGGTAGAATGATAAGTCCCACAGCAGTAAGGCTAGGCTGATTCTGGCCAGAACGCACTGCATCGCATTGAGGCCGGCTCACTTTTTTGTGGGGCA